AGCTCCACACTTTGTTATAAAACACTGCCGGTGTTGGGAATCAAACAAAAACAGAGAATGTTGGAGAAACTCAGCAGGTCTGGCAACATCTATGGAGAGAGAGACAGAGTTAACGTTTGGAGTCTGGAAGCATCATACCACACATCACAGTGAAACTTGAGACAACAAGGTGCAGGGCTGGATGAACACAGCAGGCCAAGCAGCATCATAGGAGCAGAGAGGCTGACGTTTCGGGCCTAGACCCTTCATCAGAAAAGGGGGAGGGGAAGGGGGTTCTGAAATAAATAGGGAGAGAGTGGGAGGCGGATAGAAGATGGATAGAGGAGAGGAAAGGTGGAGAGGAAACAAACAGGTCGAAGAGGCGGGGATGGGGCCAGTAAAGGTGAGTGTGGGTGGGGAGGTAGGGAGGGGATAGGTCAGTCCAGGGAGGACGGACAGGTCAAGGGGGCGGCATGAGGTTAGTAGGTAGGAAATGGGGGTGGGGCTTGAGGTGGGAGGAGGGGATAGGTGGGAGGAAGAACAGGTTAGGGAGGCGGGGACGAGCTGGGCTGGTTTTGGGATGCGGTAGGGGGAGGGGAGATTTTGAAGCTTATGAAGTCCACATTGATACCATTGGGCTGCAGGGTTCCCAAGTGGAATATGAGTTGCTGTTCCTGCAACCTTCGGGTGGCATCGTTGTGGCACTGCAGGAGGCCCAGGATGGACATGTCGTCTGAGGAATGGGAGGGGGAGTTGAAATGGTTCGCAACTGGGAGGTGCAGTTGTTTATCGCGAACCGAGACTGGGAGGTGCAGTTGTGAAACTTGGTGAGTTACTCTCCAGTAAGATACATACACAAACCGTAACCTGCCTCAGTACACAGGTAGCACTGGACAATGGTATCTCTGGACTAGAGATTTCTCTGTACTTGTGCCTGAGGCAATTTCAGACTTTCAAACTTGCTGAGAGTTTCCTGACCTAGAGTTTAGAAAGTAAGTGTGGTCAACCTCACTGTGTAATCCAGGAAACCACAGAAACACACTGGTTACCACACAGGAGACAGGGATAAGAAGTAGTGACAAAAGAAATTTAACTTTAGTGGGGTAAAAAACAACGCACGCTGGTCACTGTGAGAGGGGATTCGATATAGCTCATCACAGAAACTCCTTCACATGACAAACAAGTGATATTGACAGTGCAAAGACATGTCTCCTTAGCAATAACCTTTGTTCATTTTCATAATGATCTTTTCATCAAGTGCGTCAAGTCAATATTCATCCTTGATAATTAGAAATGAACAATCTGTTTGCCAAGAGCTACCGTGGCTCATAATTCATTTATTTTCTCCTCTCCTTCTTTATTGAGATAATGGGAAATGTGCAAGGTGACTGTTAATTCAGTGTGTGTGTGTGTGCGCGCGCGCACACACACACACACAGACACACACACAGACAGACACACACACACACAGACACACACACAGCTCCAGAAACAATAAGGCAGCCCCTGATATTTGATTGAAGTTACTTCATTTGATTCCTGGGGAAAAGACTTCAACCAGCAGAGAAAGGAACAATTTCTGACCTGGCCAATCATTGTCTGGATCACCTAATTGCAGGGGTCTGTGCTGGCCAAGTTGTTCAGTGTCTACTTCAATTTCGATAAGTGACTGTTTGTTTCTCTCACCTACTTTGATTAAATAAGTACAGTATCGCTTGTACCAAAGCTGTTTCGATGAGTTATACTGAATCATAAGACATGTTTGTCCTCAGTGTCTTCCTTCAGTATTTTTGATATGGCACTGGTTCAGGAGTGACAATGCAGTCAAAGAGATTTCATTGAAATTAAGGAGGTGCAATTGACCCGAGAGGAAGGAAAAGCAGGTCCAACAGCCCCTGTGTCAATGTCATCAAACAGCCCTTTCCATCAGCTCCTCCCCAGCTGAATGGCATTGAACACATTCAGAGATTGACAGTTTATCCTTGGCCCGGTCAGAAAAAGATAGGGTAGACTAAGATAAACTGTTTCCACTGGCTGCAGATTCTAGGGTGGCATGATGGCTCAGTGGTTAGCAATGCTGCCTCAGTGCCAGGGGCACAGGTTCAGCCGCAAGATAGAAAGATTTACCACACTGAAGGAGGCCATTTGGGCCATCGTGTCTGTGCTGGCCAACAAAAATCTCTCTAACCCAATCCCACCTTGCAGGTCTTGAGTCTTGGTTACAATTTGTCAAGTGTGTGTCCAAGCACTTTTCAAATGTGATGAGTGCTTCTGCCTGTACTACCCCGTCAGGGAGTGAGCTCCTCACCCTCACTACCCTGTGGGATGGAGGAAAATACTCCAAGGAATATAGGAAAAGGGATAGTCCATTCAATCCCTCCAACCTGTTCTGCTATTCAGTGAGATTGTGGCTGATCTGTGGACTAACTCCATTATACCTGCCTTTGGCCCATATCCCTTATACATTTTCTTAAAAAAAAACTCTCTCATTTAAAATTAACAACTGATCCAATATCCAGTTTTGTTTGTGGAAGAGTTCCAAACCTCTACTATAGTACTACATTTTGTGTGTGGAAGTGCTTCCTAACATCTCTCATGAACAGTGTGGCCCAAATTCTCAGGCTATGTCCCTAGCTCTAGAATCACAGAATTGTTACAGTGTAAGAGCAGGCCATTCGGCCCATCACGACCGCATCAACCCTGCAAAGAGCATCCCACTCAGGCTCACCCACACATCCCCCGCCCCACCCTATAACCCTGCATTTCCCATGGCTAATCCACCTAGTTTGCACATTATGGGCAATTTAGCATGGCCAATCCACCTAACCTGTACATCTTTGGACTGAGAGAAGAAACCAGAGCATCCGGAGGAAACCCACGCAGACACGGGGAGAATGCGCAAACTCCACATGAAAGTAGAATTGAACCTGTGCCCCTGGCACTGTGAGGCAGCATTGCTAACCACTGAGCCATCGTGCCACCCTAGAATCTGCGGCCAGTGGAAACAGTTTATCTCAGGCTACCCTGTCTTTTCCTGTTAATGTCTTGAAGACTTCAATCAAAGCGCCCCTTAACCTTCTAAATTATAGAGAAAACAGGTCTAATTTGTAAAATATCTCCTCAAAACATAATTCCCTTAGAATTCTTCTTAAAATGTTTGCTCCTTGATTATTGCCCAGGGAGTAAGGGAAATAGAGTTGACATAGGGATTTGTAAAATGCGTTTTGATTGTGTTCCTCGAGATAAGGGACGATTGTGTCATAAGTGGAGTGAAGGGAGTTTTACTCCAGCTTATTTTTTGAAACTGGATGGCCACTGGGTCGGAGTTTCACCCGCAAGCTGTAATCTGGCTGAACGATAGCAAAATGGAAAGGGAGATACTGGACTTCACATCATGTGTTGGGAAGTGCTGAAATTAATGTGGCACTAAAATATGCGATGACAGGAAGCAAGATTTATGGGAGAGCACACACTGTGCAAGATTCTTAATAATAAATAGACTCACAAAGAGTAGGGGAGATTAAAGATACAAAATCCCTGGAAGGTACAAATCCTGCAAAGCAAAGAGGCACTATAACATCAGCTGAATTATGAGCTTCAACTTGTGCTTCACTTTAAGCTGCTTGGCAAAAGGGCCAGAGTTGACACGAGGTAAATGCATTTTTATTCAGAAGGAGTGATTCAGATTTCCAATACGCAGCTGATAAGTTGAAGGATAAATTCAGTAACAGCTTTCAAAAAGGAATTGGATAATTATATGATTGAGAAAAAGTTACAGAGATATGGGCAAAGAGCAAGAACAGGAAATCACTGGACTGGTTTTCAGAAGAAATGGAGCAGACTGGATGGGGAAAATGGCCCCGTTCTGTGCTGTACAATCTATCCTTCACAAATCTGTGAACAGATACATGTTGTCAAAGGTTTTCGCCTTGCGCATGTCAGGACAAGTGCTAGAAATAGCCCATTAGAGGAGAACAACATTTGACACCGAATGAGAACGAAGTGCTGAGTGGTTGGCATGTGGACTCTGATTAGTAGAGGGGTTGCCATGGAGAATGCACCTGTTGATACTGATAGACAGTTAACTGCCAGGCTTTGTCAAAATTTAAACCAGTAAGTTAATTCCGAATGGTCAGGCCATTGCCCCGAGAAATGAGCCAGAGAGTGGATGTTACCTATTTGTTGTGTGGAAATAGACACAGCTTAAGGGCAGGACAGTCTGCAAAGATCAGACCCTCTATATCAATAAGCGCAGCTTCCAGTACACACAAGTGCACCATGTTTTGGAGCCCGGCTCCGAAAGCTTGTGATTTCAAATAAACCTGTTGGACTATAACCTGGTGTCGTGTGGTTTCTGACCTTGTCCACCCCAGTCCAACACCGGCACCTCCACATCAATGCTGGATTGGTCAGGAGTGAAATCCTTCATCTTCAATCCATGATTATGACACACCCTTTGGTATATTCCATATTCCTGACATCATGACAAAAATACTAAAGCAGCTACCAACATTAACTTCAGAAATGAGCACATCACCACAAGGACACCTGACAAGGCTTTGAAATTATGTTCTCTCTTGTTAGCAAAGAGTCTGATCAATGTGTATGCAATTTCTTTGCTCTGGGTGTTATATCTAAATGAGGAAATTGCCTCAACTTGGAACAGCAGAGACAGGAATCCTGCTCAATTTTTCTTGGTGTTTGCTCACTAATATTTGATCTGTGTAATCTTGAGGCCAAAGGTATAAATTCCCTCTGAAACCAGGAAAGGAATGAGTATAAGATGCATAATTTACATCAATGATACTCCAATGAATGCTCACACATTACAGTGATGCTAATCACATCTTAAGTGCTGTCTTATTGTGGAGCAAATTGATTGATTTTAGACCCCTGGGATTGATCTCTCTTTACTATCTCCTCATTATTGACACCTCAGCAATCTGGTTTGCCTGCTATTTGTGCATCAGGGAGAACAGCAGCATCTTGAAGGCATAGCAAGGGTAAAATACAGAACTTACGTTTCATCTGTGAATGCTATTCCAAAATATTCCTTTTCCTTCAGGTTGAAGTGAGATGCCACCAGGTCAAGCAGCTCCTTCGCCAAGAGTTTAGGCTGGAAGAGAAACAGAGAAACAAATCATTCTGGTGTCTGACAGGAATGCAATCATTCCAATCCTCTCTGGGGACACATTCAACCTCATTTCTAATCAGTGTTTGTGCAATGTCTGCTACCCTCACCTTTAATTCAGTGAGTTACTGAGATACTGATATTGCGACTTCAATGGAATGGGAGTTCTTTTGATTGAGTCCACCGCAGAGTTATTCAGAACAGGGATAGCATCTCTATTAACACCTTCACTCTCACTGAAAAAGATTCAGTGTTTCAGAATGTAAGCACGTGAGACTGCAGGCTAGTCTGCCAACAGTGGTCTCTTCGCTGCTCAACCCAGGATAAGATTCTGTACAAACCCAGACCAATGGCTCTCTTTAGGGGGTTGGGGTATGTAGGATGTGCAAAGCTGAATTAAAAGAGGAGTTTTTTTGAGAGGGTGCTGTTGGCCAACTATAAGGAGCATCTTGCCAAACCAGCTGCTAATGCAAACTGTGGGGGATGGGAAACCTTAAGTTCTAACAGAGAAACACACTTTGAACGAGATATCAAGAGATGGCAGATTGCTTTGAGAGAGAAAGACGCACGTTGATCTCATGCCTTTCACTACCAATGCCTCAAAGCACTCTGAAGGGTCCAATGTTGTTGGGAAAATGCAACAGTCAATGTGCGCACAGCAAGCTCCCAAAAAGAACAGTGTGATAATGACAAGTTAATTGGCTGTGCTGATATCGATTGAACCATAAGTGTTGGCCAAAACACAGGGAACCAGCTCTTTCTCCAATACACGACAATAATAAAACTCTTACATCCTCCTGAGACCTCAGTTGAACACATTCCCTTGTGAAGGGGCCTCGACCACAGCAGCACTCCGTCTGTGCTTCACTGGAACTCCAGCCTGGATCACTGCTCTCCAGTCCTGCTGGGGGGTTGGGCCGGGGGTGGGGGGGGTGGAACGGTGATGCCGCCGGGGTTGGGGCGAGGTGGTGGTTGGAGTTTCACCCTCAAACCTCTGACAGAGAGGAAAGACTTTCTATAAGGACAGAACTGAAAAGCAGTGACATCTTGCCAACCTTGAACTGAATCTAGTTTCAACCATACTAAGGACACTGAGGCACTGGGGAAGGTACTGATAAGATTTACAGGGATGATCCCAGGAATGTGGCATTTACGGCTATCAGGAACAGCTTCAGTCTTTTTCTCCTATCAGGAAACAGCTGTTGGGGGTGACCAAATAGAAATCTTTCTAATTCTGAAAGGTTTTGATAGAACAGACACAGAGAGAATCCTTCCACCTGAAAGGAAGAGCAAAACCAGAGCCTCTCAGTATAAGGGAATCACTGAGACACCAAGTAGGGAAAATAGGACTTACGAGAAGGCCATTCAACCCCTCAAGCCTGTCTGACCGTTGAACAAGATTATGACTGTCCTGATTGTGGCTTCAACTTCACTGTCCTATTGGCTGCCCTCATGACCCTGGACAGTGTTGTCTACTGAAGATCTATCTAACTCACCCTTGAATAAGTTTAAAGATCAGCTACCATTGCTTTGTGGGGAAGGAATTTCACACTCTATAGACCCTTTCAGAGAAAATATTCTCTCTTTTATACAGAAATGAGGAGAAGTTTTATTCTTAAATGGTGCCCCCAAGGTTTAGTCTATCCCACAAGTGAGAACATCCTCCGAGCAACCACCTTATCCAGTCCCTTCACCATGTTTCAGTAAGAGCCCTCTCACTCTTCTCCAACCGCTATGGATCTAACCTGCTTTCTTCATAAAATAACCCTTTCATTCCAGAACTTCCCTGAACTTCTTCTGAAGCAACTCAAGCTTTTTTAAAAGCAATAACATTTTTTTTCAAGTAAGGAGACCAAAACTGTACACAGTCCTGCAGATGTGATCTCTGCAAAGCCCTGTCTAGCTGAGGTCAAACATCCCCACTTTTCATTTCATTCCCCTTGCAATAAACAAGCTCATTCCACTTGCCTTCCTAATCACTTGCTGTACCTGCAGACTAACTTTCTGTGATTTAGTGAGGGAAGGTGGTGGCGTAGTAATAATGTCACAGAACCTGTAATCTAGAGCACCAGGTTAATGTTGTGGGAACATGGGTTTGAAACCCACTGTGGCAGATGGTGAAAGTTAAATTAAATAAAACCCAGAATTAGGAAAAAAAAATCTAATCTAATGGTGACCTGGTAACCCCTGTCACACGTTGGTTCACGAATGCCCTTCAGGGAAGGAAATCTACCTCCTCACCTTAACCTGGCCTACATGTGAATCCAGACCCATGCAATGTTCTTCATTCTTAAATGCCCTCTGAGATGGCTGAGGGGGGAAATCAGGGATGGGTAATAAATAGTGGCCTTGCCAGTATTCACATACAAGAAGGATGGCACAGGGGCTAGTGCTGCTGCCTCACAGCGCCAGGGACCTGGGTTTGTTTCCACACCCGGGCAATTGGCTGTGTGGCGTTTGGACATTCTGCCTGTGTCTGTGTGGGTTTCCTCCCACAGTCCAAAGATGTGCAGGTTAGGTGGATTGGCCATGCTAAATTGCACAGTGTCCAGGGATGTGCAGGCTAGGTGGATTAGCCATGGGAAATGCAGGGTGAGAGAGACAGGGTAGGGTGTTCTTCAGAGGGCTGGTGTAGACTTGAGGGACTGAATGGCCTGCTTCCACACTGTAGGGGTTCTATAATGATTCTAACAAAAAGCACTTGGCCATCCAATCTCTGAGCAACTGGGATCTGCAGTCTCTCTAAACTTCAAAAATAACATGTTGCTTCTCTATTCTTCCTGCCAACATGGACATGTTCACATTTAGCCACATTATACTCCATCCGCAAAACTGTCGCCCATTTCACTTAATCCGTCTTCATCCCTTTGCAGATTCTCCAGCTCCCCTTGACAACTCACTTCTCTCTACCTTGGTGTGATCTGCAGATGTAGCGCACCACACTCCCTCCTTTGCCTTCAGGAATGCAGAAGAAACCTCTTTTTCCTCAGACTACCGCAGAGAGTGGTTAAGATGTATAATTCAGATGTGTTTAAGGGTAAGTTAGAATGCCACAGGAGGGAGAAAGGAGCAGAGGGTTATACTGATGGGGTCAGCTGAGAAAAGATGGGAGGGGGCTTGAATAAAGCATAACCATCAGCACAGAGTGATTGGACTGAATGGCCTGTTCCAATGCTATGTATCTGATATGTAAATAGCAATAAATAATTCATAAAATAATTCATTTTTTAAAAATTTAACTGTCCAGCTAATACTAAAACTGAGGTGTTAATTATATATCTGTACTCACTTCATTCCCAATAAAATCATCAGGGATTTTAATCTGGAGACTTCCTGTATCAACCAACCACAAAGTGAAGTGAGTGCCAAAGACAGAATCATTTTCTCTAGGGCTTAAAGTTCACGCAGAATGAGTTGGTCGACCTTTCTGTGGGATGATTGATTTCTTTAAATCAATTCTTTTTTTATTGGTAATGAAAGAGCTTATTAAAAAAATGGAGTTTCATTCCTGCCTCACAATCCCTGGAACTGTTCAACTGGCACTGGTATAGAATGAGAAAAGTTCAGCTTCAGACCCACATCAGAATTATAAATGCTCACTGCATAATGTATAGATGGCCTCTACAAATGGAATATTTCATAGCTCTGCCTGTGTTACAAGAGTCCAAAAGGGCTTTGCTCAGATTTTAGTTGTTTTGATGTTTTTTGACGATCTAACATTTCTCAATGTCACCTTTGTTTTCAGGCCACTGGGGAACTAGCCAAAGCTTTCCTTTAAGTCAATCCATGATAATTCCAAGCCATGAACCAGAAAGGAGTGGGGCTGAGTCAGTATTCACCCAGAGGAAGGCTCAGTTGCACTGGGGAGTGGTATAGGCTGGCTTGCTGTACCCCCACTGCTTGCTTCTCTAACTCAGGGCTCCTTGTTCTTTTGTACTGTGTCGATACTCCTTCCCATTCTCATATCTGTCCAAAATCCCGTCTTGCTCATAACTGTTTTACTCCCTTGATACTAAGTTCTTTTTCTCTCCCCTTGGTGAACTAATATTCACAACCATTTCAAGTCATATCCCTGCACACTCTGTTTGATTGATACTTTTAATCTACCTGTATGGACGTAGTACAACACAGCCTTGGGGCAGAGAGAACTTGAACCAGCATCTCCTGGGCCAAAGGCAGGGGCACTATCACTGGCACAAGTGCCCTCTCCACCCTAAGAACATGTGAAATAGCAGGAGTAGGCCATCTGGCCCATCGAGGCTGCTCTACCATTCAATAAGATCATGGCTGATCTTTTTGTGGACTCGGCTACACTTACCTGGCAACTGACCATAACCCTTAATTCCTTTACTGTTCCAAAATCTATCTTTGCCTTAAAAGCATTCAACGAGGTAGCCTCGACTGTTTCACTGGGCTGGGAATCCCACAGATTCCCAACCCCTTTGGGTGAAGAAGCCTGCTTTATAATAACATCTTGATAAGCTTCTCCATGAATGACTGGACTTCACATGGGTCTCCTCACCCATTATCAGGTCATCATCTTCAACACTGTACACGAGGCTGAGAAAATGTGATTATACAGGACGTGCGTGTGTGTTTTAAAAAAAAAGATGTCTGCCCTTTTTAACCCGCAGCAACTGCTGGCAGATAGGAGAGGTGGAAATCCAGCCCCTCTGAGATCCCTGTGTATCTGATGGTTACAAAAATAACACCCCACAACATGGTCTACAAAATTCAACCAGTCCCTCAGTAGCTCATCACAGTGCCCCAGTATCAGAGTGTGCCTCTGTATTTTATTTAGGTGATGTGGTGTTTTACCATTCACGGAGTCCAGGTTGCCATGGCAACAGATACTTTTTGCATGCATGCTGTGGTGAGGATAGAGGCTCCGATTTCTTTCGACCGTATTGCTGATCAGAAATCTCTCCCCACTCTGAGCCACCAGCTTCTAGAATGCATGGTGGAAGGATTTACAAATCAATACC